TCTGTGAAAACTTGCACTGATTGTAATGCACATGTACAAAATCTAAATCTGACACATTGGCATGGTATCACAAAAGTACATTTAAATGCTTTGATGAATGATTTTGCTCATTTCTCATATGAATGTTCAAAGGTAATTCTACAGGTGTCAGGGCACCCTTAGAGCACATATACACTTGTTGTTGGGGGTTGGTGAACAGAGGTGGCTGGGCCATGTTCTTTGCCCTCTGACCACCCCCTTAGGGCTCATGTACACTGCAGCTGATAAACGTACGTTTATGAGCTGTTCAGCATTTTTTTTAGCAGCCCCTGAACTCACCTTAATGTTTTCCTATGTGTCCATGTACACATCGTCATTTACAGGCAGTGGAGTTTACAGTGTTTGATCAAAACTTGCTTTCAGCAATAGATTTTATCAGAGTTTTAAACGCCAAACGCTTGTAAATGCGTGTAATCGCGGCTAACCGCGTTTATAAGCATTTGTGTTTGAAAAATGTTTTTTAATTCTCCCTTTTCCAGATGCTGTCCAGAGCCTTTTTTCATTATTAAAAATGCATGCAAAAGTGTTTTCCCAGTACTCAAATGGACCTAGTACACCATACTTTGAGGTTTTGCATGAAATAATATATGTTAGACACTGCTGCAATCATTACTGCACAGAAATGAGCTGGAACACATCCAAAAACCACAAAAAAAAATACTGGTCTCTCTGCTTCTGCTCTCTCTAGTTCTCTCAAAATGTCAGAAATAGTTATATTTTACTGTTTTTCAGTGCATTCTGGGCATTTTGGAAGATCTCCTGAGGTTATCTTTAAAAAAAACTCTTCTAAACGCAAACATGCATAAACACACTATGCAAATGCAGCTAAACAGACGTTTTTTAACCTACGTTTTCCCAGCAGTCAGTTTCCATCGTTCAGAAGTGTCCCGTGTACATGGGGCCTTAAACTGCAAAAATAATCTGTGCGGCAGAGGGGAAATCTGTTCAAAGTAGCAATATATATATACAGTATATGGATACATTGTTTGTAGAAGATTGACTGTAGCTAGAAAATCTATTAGCACTTGATAATCCATATACATTGTATAAAATGTATGATGAAGTTATTGGTGAATAGTAGGTGTCCTGATTCATTTATTAAGGATATGATAAAACCATAATTGCCATTAAAAACCAATAGGTAAAATGTGATATTACAAGTGTACATGATTGACAAAGATAGACACCGTGCATTGTTGGATATGGCCACCAGATGGCAAACACCGCCCTCCTTGCCTTTCTATTCTATCTTCTAGACTTAGGTTGTTGGTACTTCCTGGTTCCTGTTGTTCCTGACTTCCTTTCTATGGTAGCGGCTGAAGAATCCCATTAAGGAGAGCGGTGGGGGTGCAGTGCCGGTGTTGCAGCAAGATCTGTCCCCATTCCTGGGTATTCCGGGGGTCACCCTCACGTGTGTGGATTGTCGGTGTGAGGGGCATCGTTTGAGATCATGGGGCAAGGGAAGAAAGTGAGAAACGTCGCCGAGATGGCCCGAAAAATCCGGGAGTACCGGGCGATGAAGAACCGACCGACAGAGTCCCAGCGATATGCTATGGACTATGAAGTCAGTATTACCCCCCCCCCCCCGTACAGGGCTGTATGATGGTCCCGTCCCCCCTCTGTCCTCTCCTGTACAGGGCTGTATGATGGTCCCGTCCCCCCTCTGTCCTCTCCTGTACAGGGCTGTATGATGGTCCCTCCCCCCCGTCCTTCCCTATACAGGGCTGTATGATGGTCCCGTCGCCCCTCTGTCCTCTCCTGTACAGGGCTGTATGATGGTCCCTCCCCCCGTCCTTCCCTATACAGGGCTGTATGATGGTCCCGTCGCCCCTCTGTCCTCTCCCTGTACAGGGCTGTATGATGGTCCCGTCGCCCCTCTGTCCTCTCCTGTACAGGGCTGTATGATGGTCCCGTCGCCCCTCTGTCCTCTCCTGTACAGGGCTGTATGATGGTCCCGTCGCCCCTCTGTCCTCTCCTGTACAGGGCTGTATGACGGTCCCGTCGCCCCTCTGTCCTCTCCTGTACAGGGCTGTATGATGGTCCCGTCGCCCCTCTGTCCTCTCCTGTACAGGGCTGTATGGTGGTCCCGTCACCCCTCCTCCCTCTCCTGTGCAGGGCTGTATGGTGGTCCCGTCACCCCTCCGCCCTCTCCTGTGCAGGGCTGTATGGTGGTCCCGTCACCCCTTTGTCCTCTCCTATACAGAGCTGTATGATGGTCCGGTCCCCCCCTCTGTCCTCTCCTCTCCTGTACAGGGCTGTATGGTGGTCCCCGTCCTTCCCTATACAGGGCTGTATGATGGTCCCGTCCCCCCCTCTGTCCTCTCCTGTACAGGGCTGTATGATGGTCGTCACCCCTCCGCCCTCTCCTGTACAGGGCTGTATGGTGGTCCCGTCACCCCTCCGCTCTCTCCTGTACAGGGCTGTATGGTGGTCCCGTCACCCCTCCGCCCTGTATCCCCCGTACAGGGCTGTATGGTGGTCCCGTCACCCCTCCGCCCTCTCCCGTACAGGGCTGTATGGTGGTCCCGTCACCCCTCCGCCCTCTCCTGTACAGGGCTGTATGGTGGTCCCGTCACCCCTCCGCCCTCTCTCCTGTACAGGGCTGTATGGTGGTCCCGTCACCCCTCCGTCCTCTCCTGTACAGGGCTGTATGATGGTCCCGTCCCCTCTCTGTCCTCCCCTGTATAGGGCTGTATGATGGCCCCGTCCCCCCTCTGTCCTCCCTGTACAGGGCTGTATGATGGTCCCGTCCCCCCTCTGTCCTCTCCTGTACAGGGCTGTATGATGGTCCCGTCACTCCTCCGTCCTCTCCTGTACAGGGCTGTATGACGGTCCCGTCACTCCTCCGTCCTCTCCTGTACAGGGCTGTATGGTGGTCCCGTCACTCCTCCGTCCTCTCCTGTACAGGGCTGTATGGTGGTCCCGTCACTCCTCCGTCCTCTCCTGTACAGGGCTGTATGGTGGTCCCCGTCACTCCCCTCCGTCCTCTCCTGTACAGGGCTGTATGGTGGTCCCGTCCCCCCTCGTCCTCTCCTGTACAGAGCTGTATGGTGGTCCCGTCACTTCTCCGTCCTCTCCTGTACAGGGCTGTATGGTCCCGTCCCCCCTCTGTCCTCTCCTGTACAGAGCTGTATGATGGTCCTGTCACCCCCCTGTCCTCTCCTGTACAGAGCTGTATGATGGTCCTGTTCCCTCCTATACAGGGATGTACAATGGTCTTGTCACCCCTCTGTCCTTACCTATATGGAGCTGTATGATGGTCCATTCACCCCTCTGTCCTCTCCTGTACAGGGCTGTATGATGGTCCTGTCACCCCTCTGTCCTCTGCTATTACAGGGCTTCATGAGGGTACTGTCACCCACCTGTCAGCTTTTTCATTTGATTTTTTCTAGTGCTGGTTAAGAATTTCACTTTTACATGCTAGAGTTCTTCTTTCTGTTTCTTTTATTTATCTGTGGCACTGTGTGACATCTCTAAACAAAGCAGGTTGCACCTCTCACCACTGCCAGTGTGTTATAAGGAATATTCAACTGTTGTCTTCTTCTCTCTAGAATCTGACCCGGCCTTTCACAAGTAAGCGGATGCCCGTCCTTGCTTGGGAGGATATAAAGAATGAGAAGCAGCTGTTCTCTCTGCTCACTGGTCTGAGGTTGTTTGGAGTTGGAAGGATGGTGACCAAGAAGTCCTGGCTGGAGCAATTCGATGAGCCTTGCTACTGGACTATTACTAAGGTCAAAGTGGATTACAGAGCTGAGGTGAGGGAGAGTTCAGAAGATCATGACCGCCGTCCTGCAAAATTGAGAGGGTAGAAAGTGGTGCTGACAATCTAAGCCAGAATACACACCGTGGTATTAAAGCTCATCAGACTCTAAGGACTGATTCACACTAGGAATCGCACCGGTATGCGCTGCACGTTCCTGTGCGATTCATATGCAGTTATGTGCAGTACGATTTCAGCCTATTCATTTTAAATGGGCTGAAATTGTACTGCACTGCACCTAAATTAGTGCATGCACTACTTTTGGAAACGCACTACAACTGGATTGCATTGTAGTTTTGTACCATGCAATCTGGTGCGGGCCAATGTACTGCGTTTACTGTGTCAGTAACATTGCACTGACACCCACTGCAGGTCGCAAGAGCAGCGCATTCAGAATGCGGTGCACGAAATCCACGCAGCATTCTAGTGTGAATCAGCCCTTAAGGATACTGCACACATGGACATGGTAGACAAGACAGCACACTTGCTTGCCTGCCTCTTACTTCTTTTGCATGTTGTGGTCATTTTTGTGGGCTAGAAGCTAAGGTGGGGTCATATGTAATATGGGGCTGCGGTGATGCCATGGGAACCTCATTTCATTTTTTTTTTTTTTTTTTGTTCCTCCTGGTGCATCAAGGAAGGGAGGCCTTGGGGTACTTTACAATGCCACGTCATCAGGGGGCTTGCTGAGGCTCTGGTTCTTGCAGCCAGTCCCCTGATGAAGTGAAACATGCATGCCATCATGAGGCCAGCTACAAGAACCCAAAATAGATAGAAAGTTCCCCCCTGATGTTGTAAGTAAATGAGATGGTGGAGCAAGACCTGGAATGCTGCAGTGGATTGGTGGTTTGACCCAGGACAACACTATATCATCTGGATGTGTAAGTATGTATTTTGAAGGTAACCCTGCTAACAAGATAGGAGGGGAACAAAAATAGAACACAGGGATGGTAAAGGGTGATTGAGGTTGCTCTTTAAATAATACATAGAACCTTCCGAGATCTATTGCCATAATTTTCCCTACAGTTCCACATATCACTATTCTTATAGTAAATTATTTATTGTATAGTGACATAGGTTCAGATGTAACAAATACTCCAGTATATACACTATATTGCCAAAAGTATTGGGACACCCCTCTAAATCATTGGATTCAGGGGTTCCAATCATTTCCATGGCCACAGGTGTATAAAATCATCACCTAGGCATGCAGACTGCTTCTACAAACATTTGTGAAAGAATGGGTGGCTCTCAGGAGCTCAGTGAATTGAAGCGTGGTACTGTGATAGGTTGCCACCTGTGCAGTAAGTCCATCCGTGACCTTTCCTTTCTACTAAATATTCCACCGTCAACTGTTAGTGGTATTATAACAAACTGGGAACAACAGCAACTCAGCCACGAAGTGGTAGGCCACGTAAAATGGCAGAGCGGGGTCAGCGAATGCTGAAACGCACAGTGCACAGATGATGTCGCCAACTGCCTGCAGAGTAAGTAGCTAAAGACCACCATACTTTGTGTGGCCTTCAGATTAGCACAACAGTGTGTAGAGAGCTTCATGGAATGGGTTTCCATGGCCGAGCAGCTGCATCTGAGCCTTACATCACCAAGTGCAATCCAAAGCATCGAATGCAGTAGTGTGTAAAGCATGCCGCCCTGGACTCTAGAGCAGTGGAGATGTTTCTCTGTCTGGCAATCCAGTGGACGTGTCTGGGTTTGGCGGTTGCCTTGAAAACGGTACTTGCCTGACTGCATTGTGCCAAGTGTAAAGTTTTTGGTGGAGGGGGGATTATGGTGTGGGATTGTATTTCAGGGGTTGGGCTTGGCCCCTTCGTTCCAGTGAAGAGAACTCTTAAGGCATCGGCATACCAAGATATTTTGGACAATTTCATGCTCCCAACTTTGTGGGAACAGTTTGGGGATGGCCCCTTCCTGCTCCAACATGACTGCGCACCAGTGCACAAAAGAAGGTCCATAAAGACATGGATGATTGAGTTTGGGGTGGAGGAACTTGACTGGCCTGCACAGAGTCCTGACCTCAACCCCATAGAACACCTTTGGGATGAGTTAGAGCGGAGAATGCGAGCCAGGCCTCCTCCCCCAACATTCGTGCCTGACCTGACAAATGTGCTTCTGGAAGAATGAT